TGAACACTGTTGCTGCCTTTTTTGATAGAAGGACAGAAACTTGTAAAACAGCCCCCCACGGTTCCCATGTTTGGCATGGTTGTTCCAAAGATGTTGAAGCATGTCTCTGGGGTCAATCTGCCGTCCACATAAGCAGCACCAAGTACTAAGGGCTGTGCAGAGTGTGCCATCTCCAAGAAGTTCGTCAAAAACTCCCGTGGCAAGAAGGCTGTCCATGTGTGGAAAGTTCATGGCAATGGTGGGGCTGAGAACTTGTAGGTCCAGCTTCAGTGCGTGTGCCAAGATGAGCTCATCGCTGGCATCCTTAAGTTTGTGCAGGTCATGGTGGACAAAGAGGGCCAGTTGAGTAAAGACCGTGCAAACATGTGGAGTCGCCGGAGGTCGAAGACAGGAGCAGCCAAGGTTCCTCAGAGCACTGTCTGTTTGAAGCCATTCAGCATACGTGGTTGCCATAGTCCATGATGTAGAATGAGCCGAGCTGAGATGCTTCAAAAGACGAGAGGATGAGCTGGATGATTGATGTCCACAAAGGCCACAGATGTAGCCCAGCCTCCGGATCAGTGACTTGTAAGCAAGTAAATGATCAAATGTGCCCCCATGAAGCCCAGAGATGACCACTGGATGGTGCCAAAGTAGCGATGGAGCATCCGGCAGCGGTTCAGGACATTGACCTCCATCAATGTGATGCCGTAGTGCTGCAAGACAAAGGAAGGAGGCCTCGCAGTGTGCACATTGCGTCAGCCCAGGAACTTGGTCCCTGGATGCAAGGAAGGTCCTGGTCAACGTGGAGTGAGCATGCTCCATGGATTGATGTTGATGAAGTCCTGCGGCAGTCACGAATTTCCTGGTACATTGAGCGCAAGCAAATTGAGCATCCATCCTCTGCGGAGGTTGTGGGACCGGTGGTGGACATGCCGGAAATTGCGCACGGTGTTTCCGGTATGCAAGAGCAAGCCCCAGCTGTTTCTTCACAGGGCATGTGTGCGTTTTCGATCGAAAGTCCTGTCCACACAATTCACATGGTGAATTGGTCCGGGCCCTGATCACATTGGGCAGAACCTCCCCCATCAGCGCATAGACATCTCCATGATCTCGACCCATGTGGGCAGACATTTGCTGCAGTCTCGAAGACCAAAAGCCACAAAGAATGCACCGTTGGGTCAGAAAATAGCAAAGTCCTCGATCGTTGGCCAGAGGGGCCAGGTCGCCATCGTCGAAGTACTCCAGGAGTTTTTGCCTGTGTTGTTGAAGAACTTCTGGTGGTGCCTTGGTCGAGTCAAATTCAGAGCAGGAGAGAGTGTGAATGTGGTGTCGGAGGTTTTGCCAGCTAATGAAGGTTTCGCCACAGTGCCGACAGGTAGGTTTCCCATCAACCGCATCTCTAGCTATATCCAGCGTGGGACCCTCAGCATGTAGAATGCCGTGAACATGCAACTCGTGTCTCCTCAGTGTATATAGATGTTGAAAGGTCATCCCACAGTGCGGACAATCAAGTCCTGCCTCCGCCAGGGGGAGCTTGGGTTGCAGATCCAGTTCTCCAAGGTCCTGAAGCCAAGAGTCTGTGAGATGAATAGAGCTTTGGAGTGTGCTGAGGTCAAGAAGGTGGAGTATGTCATGCTCTTGTAGTGAGGAAAGTCTGTCCTCATGCCGCTTCAATTGAGAGGCCATCCGCTCCCTCAGGGAGAGCACCGGGTGGCGGAGTTGGTGCTCTGTCAAGAAGTCCATGTGAGTGGTATGTGTCATGTAGGAATGGTCTCCTGCGGCCTGTCGAAGCATGGACGTCATGTTCTTGGAGAACAAAGGAATGGAGGTGTGATCGGTTCCAGTTGCATCCAATCCATACACTCCTATTGGAAAAATGCATGTTTGCCATAGAGCCACCTTCTGAGCCGAGTGCATGCCATTTTTCGAAAACCACTTCTGCATTTGTCTGAAACGAACTTTGCATGCTTGAAGCCGAGCTTTCATGGTGTCCCTTTGAAAATTGTTGTATCCCATCTGAACTCCCAAGTATTCGTGCTTCTCTTTGATCGGTATTTCGTGTGAGCCCCCTTCGGCTTGTGGTATGCAGAGTGCGGAATGGTCGAGCTTCTTTTTCACAAATTGCTGCCTGGCTTGTTTCTGTTGTTTGCCTCCCCATCGTAAGATGACGGCGGATTTCTTCATATTCACGGTCATGCCCAGCCTTTCAAGGACAGAGATAACGGTGCCAAAATATTGAAGGCCTTGTTGAAGTTCTGCCATGGTCTGAAAAACAAAGCAGGCATGACCGTCATCTGCATAGAAGGTGCAGCATTCACGCATCCAGTCTTCTGAGGATTCGTGTGCTATCAAGTTCAACACCAGTGCAATGAAGCTGGCCCAAAAAAAGGGGGCGCCCCGGCAGCCTTGCCTCACACCTCTAAAGGTGGATTGTTCAGCAGAGATTCCTTTCCATTGAATCACATATGAGGTCTGGGTGTGCCATGTCATCAGGAGTGAGGTGAGATCATGGGGAAGACCAATGAGTGAAAAAGCTGAGTAGAGGTGCTCACGAGGCATGGCATCAAAGGCTCCAGTGAGATCGAGAAAGAGCTGACACCCTCCAAACACTTGAGGACGTGTTGTCCCGTCAACTGACCTCTGATTGGCGTCATATCGCCATCGGTGATGAAGAGCTTGGACCTTCCGAACGTGTGCTTGAACCCGGGTGATTGCTTCCCATGTTCCTCGTCCCGGGAGGTATGCAAACTGTGGATACCAGGTCAGAGTTGGCAGTGAAAACTTCCTTGCCTCATGAACAAAAAGTGACATGACCGTCTTGGAGAGCGGAGTCTGAAGAGCGATTGCACTTTTGGTTCAACCGGTTGTTTGTTCGGTTTGGGCAGAAGGACAACCCAGCCTTTCCGCCGTTCGTGAGGAATGAGCCCCCAAAGCATCCACGTTTTCACCCATTCAAAGACAAGTGACCCAATAGAGGTGGCCAGCGCCTTCCAGACGAAGCTCGGAGCCACGTGAGGCGGAACACTGGTGCGTCCATAGAGCGCCTGCAGTCCCTGGACAAGGTCCGATGCCTCAAAGGGTAGAGCAGTCAAATGGAAGGGTTGAGCTGGAAGATCAACTCCTGCATAAAGGTTGCCCATGTACTCTTGGATCCAGCTCAGTTCCTCTTCCGGTGACATAAGCTGACCAGCATGACGTCTGAGATGAGGCCGAGATGGTCGTGACTTGGGTGTGAGAGAGTTCACCACCTTGAAGTACTTGTGGGAGTCGTTGTTGCTCCAATGCCGCCTGGCTTGTGCAATTGTCTGAGCCAGCTTGTCTTTCTTTGCATCCCTAGCTTTTTGGTTCGTGGATCGTTTCCAGGATTGAATTCTGACCACTTTGACCCATGTGCCAAAGAGCTGTTGAAGTCGACACGAGAAAATGGGCTTCCGAGCCACTTCCGGAAGAGCAAGTCCTGGATGTCCGTTGGCCCAGGTCCAAAAGGTTGGTGAGGGGCTTGCAAGCTCCAAAGCAGGTGGTTTGAAGTTCTGACATCCTTCAAGGAGTGCCTGGTTGAGAGCTCAAGATCTGGTTCATCTTCCCTGAGGCCAGTGATGACCTCTTCCAAGGAGGAGCAAAGCCCTTGCCACTCTTCACTGTTCAAGTCCCAGTGCCGAAGGAGAAGTTCTTGTTGCCCACGAGGAAGACCAACCGGCTTGGAGTTCCAGGCCCTCCATTTGTAAGGAACGGTCAAGAGGATGGGCACGTGATCCTTGGTGTGTCCAAAGCGTTCGGGCAGATCCTCCAGGTAGATGGGCTTTTTTGTGAAGGAGTCACTGGACTTGTGACGAACCATGATGTAGTCAATCCGGGATTGTCGGGCCAGTCCTCCAGTGTAGGTGGGTCCAAGGGAAGTGTCCCAAGTATTGATGGCGGTAAGCCCATGCTGGGTGAGGAGGTGACCCAGCTTCCCGGAATCAGGGTGCCGTGGTCCAGCCTTCCTTCCCTTCTGGTCCTGAAAGTCGTGGAGCCCCACAGTGTGGTATGTGGGGAAGGCTGGTGTTGAGGTCTCCTCCCAAGATGACCACATTCCGTTGGGGAAGACCAGCAAGCAGTTGATCACAGGCATGAAGGAGTTCCCCTCGATGTTGAAGACAAAGAGGATCATGCTGAACCCACGCGTGTTGATAAATGTTGAGAAGGTCAATCCCCGAGGAGGGTAGATATAGTCGAACGTGGAGAAGCCTCCCAGGAAGAGTCTCCCGCCAGGAGATTCGGTCAACGGGGCAAAAGCTTTTCCTGATGATCACCATCAGTCCACCCGTTTTGCCCCTTGAGCCACTGTGGACATAGGCAAAGTGAGAATCCTGCCAGTCACCGCTGAACCCCCACCGAGTGTCCTGAAGAAAAAGAACATCGAGGTGTTGGGAGCGCATCCACTGCCTCAGGATGTCAAACTTATAGGAGCCCAAGGAGCAAATGTTCCAGCTAAAGCCCGTGAGGCGGTTTTTCCGGACCTTGGCCGGAGGGGCCACATTGAGCTTCTGCCTGTTGTGGTGACCTAGGTCGGCCAGGGGTGCTTGTAGTTGTTCGGTGCCAAGCATGGCTGCCGTGAAAAGCTGACCTTTGTACCATGTGTGTCCATGAAGCTGGGCTCGTTTGAGCGCACGAATATAAGCCTTCTTTTTGTGTTGAGGTTTGTCCGAATCCAGGTGTGCTGATTTAGGTCCTGTGCCACTTGGCTTCGCCGTAGAGAGGGTGTAGAAGTCCCGAGATTGGATGGCTTCACTGTGCTGACCGCGGTCAGCACAGGGTTGCCCATGGAAAGAAGAGTCGTGACCGCACTTCCCCCGCAGCACCGTGGGGATGGGGGTTGAGCCGCTCATGGCCCTTATCATCATCATCATCATCATCGTCATCATCGCCATCATCATCATCATCATCAGCAGCAGCAGCAGCAGCAGCAGTTCATGGTGAGATTTATCAAACTCTATTGGGGATTCTCGCTACTTATCAACAGCATTCAGACATGTGCTCTCATTCCGGGGCCTCATGTGCAGACTGTTGCTGCTGTAATATGCAGACTGTGGCCGCTTGCAACCAAGTTTGAGTCCGATTGCCCGCTGGCTGCCGTGTGCACTGTGTCCACGTCACACGCCGCGTTACCGACCTTACCGGGAGAGCGACGCAACGGGGCTTCAGGGACTTCTGGAAGCGGTTCGGGCCAAATTGGACGGTGGTCGGGGTGCCCAACACCCCAGCAGCGTCTTTGCTGCTTCTAGTTGGTCTAATCCTTTGCTGCAGGATTTTTCAGCTACTCACACGTTCAGACACCGCGACAGCTTGGACCATAAGGTATGTTTCCCAATAATATGATATGTGAAAATAATGTCAGCATGTCCTCCTTGTGCTGCATTGCGCCAGTTCGTGTTCATGCAAATTAACCAACTGAACCCTGTGATGAACTTGCCTATTTGATTTCCTGCCGATTTCCTTGTGCATGGTGTCCCAGGTCACACATCAGAGCACTCCTTGAGCCGCTGGGAGCAGAGCAGTGGGTACAACGAGCGGCTTCTGGTGGCGGCTGGGGCCAAAGTGCACCTTCTGAACCAAACAGGTCGGGGAGCCCACAGCTTCAAGGTTTCTACAGTTTTTGCTTGGTCCAGGAATTTCAGATCGACAAACTTTTTTGGATGGTTGTTTTGCTTTCTGCCTTTGTTTCAGGGCTGTTGGAGGGCTAGAACTTTCTGGTGTGGTGTGAGTACACCTGAGGCAAGAGTGCCTGGGACATCGCAGAACAGAAAAAACAAGTGAACTGCTTGGCCTTATTTCGAGAGCTCCCAGATGCTTGGCATGCAAGAGGTTGCATGTTTCCAGATGTTGAACTGAACGGACACCTTTAGAATCCTTTAGATTTCTAGTAGACTCTGGTAGAGACCTGCTTGCTGCCAGGTTTCTGTCTCGCTGCTCAGCGGAAAACATGTCCTGTGTAGCTTGGCGACAGCTATGGCTGAATGTGTGCGCGCGAGTTGGTTTTCAGTTACTGTTTCTATCGGTTGCTTGCCAAGAGTACTCCTAATCAAGGCGGTGTTTGAGAGACATGGCCTTAAACATTCCGCGGAGAACCTTCCTTCCATGTTCACTCAGCCAAGATATGGGGATGGGTCAAAACCTGGAGTCCTGGAGCCCACCATGTAGGTTGACCTCCCAGGGACTTACCTGGGAGGTCGACCAATGTATCCTAGTTTTGACTCCGCAGCCAAGAAGTGAGCAGTGCTAGTTTTGAATTCTTCTCTGCGAGGTAGTCTGAAAGACTGTGCTCGCACTGTGAAGGAGCTCCAGGAGGAAGCCCAGCAACGTCGAAGCAATCAGTTGTTTTGTCTAGGCAATCTGCGCGTGCATTCTTATGAGCAGGCTGCCAGTTCGATGCAAACACCAGCACCATCTCAATGGTTCGCATAAATTCTCACTGCAGAGGGAAAGAAGGTGGTGTAATGGCTGAAGCCCGTACTCTGACGTTGCAAATGAGTGCATGAACCTCTGAGTCTGAGAGAACACCGCATTGTGCTTGCTTGGTGCAGAGGGTGTATGTGATGTGAGTACGTATTTCCTATATATATATATGCTAGTTAAAGTTGCTGGAGGCCAGTCATTGGTCAAGACAGTGCAGATTAGGGTGACAGGTATCTTCCTTTCACTGCAAGCGATGTTGCCACCGCGAGAGGAGAGCCCACGGTTCCAATCAAATGTTCACCAAAAATGCGTTTGGTCGATTTCTATTGTAACCCTTGACTACCCGTGTGCCGGCCAAGTTTATGATTGGTGGTCATACGCCTGGTGTTTTTTTTAGCTAAGCTGCATATATAGGGCTCAAGATAGCCGAAGTTAGTTTCGGAGCGACTTGTGGCCCCAGTCTCCACTGAGAGACGGCCTTCCACCTGAGCCATAGGTATCCGTGGTGGTCCGACTTTCTGCCGAAGCCCCAACTGGCATCGGCGGTTGAGATCCAAGCGATCTCGTGCGCGAGCCTTTTTGCGGAGGCTCCCTAGGCACACTGCCATCCGAGGCAGGAGGGTGCTCAAGGCTTTACGCCTTAAAGCATTTCTGGAGAGCCACCATAGTCGACCACGATACGCTGTGAGTTTCAGGATGTCATGGAAGGGAAGATGGGGCTCGAATGCTCGAGCAGAAGCCTGGAAAGGCTCATGGCCAAAGGAGAACAAGAAGCCGCAGGAAAAGCCCAAGAAGGAGAAGCCGGACAGCCAAGTATTGAGGTATCACGACGGTACCAAAATCGATACTACAATCGGCGGAAGTTCTACCTTGCAGGGCTCGTCTGCGCAATCTTCCTTACTACAGGAGGAGAACAAAAAACTGCGGGAGGCTGTCAAAGCCTTATCGCAGAAGGCAGATCTCTCGGAAGTAGAGTCAGCAGACGAAATCCGAAAGCTGGTCGAGACAGACCCCAGGGAGGTTTTGAGAGAGCAGCAAAAGGAACTCAACAAGTTGAAGAAGGAGCTGACCAAGAGAGAGAAGATCGAGAAGCAGCTGAAGGAGAAGGCGGAGAATCATACCAGCTGGAAGGCTGGTATTCTGGAAGGAGTCAAACGAGCCGATGCCAAACATTTGGAAGAGATCAAGAAGGTGAAGGAGGAATTGGCACAAGTCGAAGACGACAAAGATGCCAAAGAGGGGATGAGTGTAGAAGCTCCTCAGGGAAACGACAGTGCTGTGGACTCGAAACTGGACGATATGAACAGGAAGATGTACCAGATGGCTTCATATGTCGAGACAATGGAGCAACGGAACCAGGACCTGGCATATCAAGTTTCCATGTTGCTCACTGCTGTCAAGGGGAACACCGAAACACTACCCCCTCATTCTCCTCAGTATGTGAAACCGCCAGCCAGAGCGACGATGACAAGTGTATCGGCCGAAAGAACCTCCAGAACTTCTCAAGAGAGATCAAGATCGCCTTGTCGAATAGAAGAGTTGGGGACACCAGTAAATCCCTTGACGCAACAGGCTGTCCAAGAAGCTCTGAACATTTTGCCTCCAGAACAACAACAACATGTGCTTGCAATTGTGGAGGCAGAACCAGAGAAGTTCCCTACAGTCGAGACTATTGTGATCCTGACCCAGCAGATGTTAGCGCAGATGACCAAGGTGCCAGAAGAGGTCAAGATCGTGACGAGTGGACGAGGGCCTCTGCAACCCTTCTGGAATTCCAGAGATCCTGTCAAAAAATTGGTCTCCCATTCTGGCAAAGGACGAGCAAGGGCAATGGATGTGGAGGAGGACCCCAATCCCATAGAGGGGGCATCATCTCCATTGAACGCTATGACGCTATGAATGGGCAGTCTCATGGATCTTTACAAGGATGCGCCAACTTTAGAGGCAGCATTCTAGATGAATTGTTCTCTGTTTTTGACTTCTTTTGGGTGGCATTCTCACTTCGGGCTGGTTGTAGAAGCCTCCTCGAAGGTCTTCCTTTGAGAATGATGATGGAGGTCAAGGAGAACGGCATTCCTTTTGAAGCCTTGCTGGGATGGTTTCCGAGTGGTCCGTATAGTGACCTTTGGTATGGCTTTTCTTGGCGGGTGCATTTTGTTTGGCAGAAACTCAACACAGATTTGGCTGGCACAGATTGGCAACATTTGAGTTTGCCATGCGGTCTTTCTGACATGAGTTCTTTGACAAACCTGATGCAGTATCTTTTTGTCACCACGATATTATCTCCAATTCTGGCTTGCTTTATGGTATGCTGGGTTGTTGAACTTCACTATATTTCGGTGCTTTGCCGATCTCATTTTTGGCAAAGGAGCAACGATCGGGTTACCGCACATCTGCACTATTTGGCTTTTTGGAGTGGTGGGGTGTATACCACTCTGAATTTGACCTTGACTTTTGAGGATGTGGAGACAGTGGAGAGCACCACAGGTATTGATATTTGGGGTGTGCGGCTCCTTACGGCAGCACGTGACTGCTCTATGTATATCTTTGGTGCCATGCTTGCAGCTCTCATTTTGTTTCATGGATGGAGACAGTTCTGGCAAAGATGTTCTTTCCCTTTGACCAGGGAGGCAGGATCCATCCATGCGAGGCTGCCAGGAAAGCAGTTCGGTAGATTTGGCCTTCGTGCTTTGATTATGTGTATGTGCATAGTTGTGGAAGATTACAAAGAGACAACACATTACATGGCCAATCTTATGCCTCCATATGGAAGTGCGGATCCTTTTGAGCCTTGGGGGGACTCGCATTGCGCTAAACATCTTCCTGATGTTTTCGAAGGCCTTAGCTCTTGGAGTTTTCTTGAGACGCCTGGTGAAGAAGCACGTGAACTGGGGCTGTACGAGAAACCCAATCGAGCTTGTCGATTTTGTGCAAGGGAAAGACCACAAAGAGTCGCCACTGCAAATGCATTTTTGATCCACTTTGTACCGATGAGTTATGTGGAGGGAGGGAACAGGTGCCTAACAAGGGGGCTTGGTGGCTCACACCCTCTGACCTGTCCCTCCTGTGATGACAGCCAAGGAGTGTCTGAAATCTATGATCTTGCTAAGGCCAACGAGCCTTTCAAGAAGGTTTCCAGACTCAAGCCAAGGAGTACTGAATGGGAGATGGCCACCAGGAGCATGAATGATGATTTTTTTTCATTAATGCAAGGCTTTTCGTGGAAATCTGGATCGAGCAGCTCTGGTTATGTCGTCCGGGGACATGACAATACACAACGTGCTGTGCGACAGATTGAGATCTCCTTGCCGGATTCCTTTTGGCAACAGATTGACGTAGTCCAAACTCAGTTTTCTGATGTACACTTGTACCTACATGGTCTCAAGGGCAAGCATATAGCAACGCGGACCTTGAAGGTCTATGGAAGAAAGAAAGGTATACTTCCAAGTCTACATAGCCGCATTGAGTGGTTATGGCATGACCATTATGACCGAAGGGAGTCAGCTTTGCTGTATCTTGTAGAACCTCAGCCTATTAGTGCTGCTGTGAATGGACAAGTGCACTTGATCTTAGATCTTTGGCCAAGTCTCCAGGGAACACCAGTGCTCTCACAATGGACTATTGATGATGAACCTGGATGTGCCCTGCAATCTCACCGTTTGCAATCGTATACGCCATTTGATGAAATTTTGATTGAAGGGGACTTGCCGAGAGAGATTGAGAATGGCATGAAGGTGGCTTATACCCATCGAGGCCAGGGATATGGGCGACATGATGTCCTTCGCTTCCTTCAGGGATCAAAATTTGATTTTGATCTCAAGACAAAGGAAGAATGTCTCAAACAGGAGGTCTTTGAAGGGCGGATTTTTGCTGATTTTTCAATTGACCCCCTGCAAGACTCAACTTTCTTGATGCAAGTACGTCCACTGATGGAAGATATGCTTGTTCGGCACATCAGGCGGGTTCGAGGAGGCAATGTAAGGATAGATGTTTTGACGCGGATGCACCATGCTGAACATATACAACAGCTGCAAAGGGACTTGCGTATCGTTACGCATAACCCTGACCTGCCACTAGGTCATAATATTCGCAGTCGCTGGGTGCATACTTTCGGTCGTAGATCATGCTACATCTTTCCTGTTTGGCCTTCTCCTAGTAGTGGCAGGGGGCCCGAGCCGCATTACATTGTCACTACCTATATTGGACATGGATTGATACCTGCCTTGATTGAGTATGAGACGGTTCGAAGTTTTCGCCAAGCCAGCTTTGTTTTTCGAACTCACAATTGGCTTTCTGTGCAGCAGGTTTTTGACCAGGTAAACCCACAGAACCAATGTCCGTGGGGGGCAGAGTGCACACTTCGGTGTGGAGCTGCCTTCTATGAATGGTATCAATATGTCCCTTTGTATGAAGGAATCTTTCTCAGATTGATGGAGATTGAGAGAGACGACCCCACGGATGAAAGTGCTACGTGTGACAACAGTGAAGATTTGGAGCAGATGTCTAGTGTAGAAGCTGTTAGTTCGAAAGATGAGTCGTTTGAAGAAGAACATGTTTCTTTCATGCAGACTGGAGCCCCGAACTGGCAGGAAGAATTTGATTTGGAAGAGGAATCATTCCGCCAAGCATTAGCTGAGCTTCCCTCCACTGCAGGTGGATTGAGGGATATGTCTGCATGCTTGATTCCTGCCAATGAGGGTATGGCAGATCCATTTCGATCTTTCCTGGACTCCCACTTTGCCCTCCAGGGAGTTGCCATGCACACGATTTACACTTGGGTTGTCACTGGTCACGTTGCGGTTGTCGCTCGTGTCTGTGTTATGGATGCTCGACTTTGGAATGGAGGGATACAGAGCAAGATTGGCCTGTTCTCTTCGCATGTGCTGAACCACAGCCTGCT